TATTCTTCGTAGTTCTGTTTGGCATTAACCCTAACTAAAAGTGCTGGCTTTAGAAGTAGGGACAATATGCCAAGGAAAATGTGTATGTGCACCCTCATACAAAATTTTTTTGTGCACTTAATCCACACAAGGTAGAGAAGAAAACATATAATAATAAAATGATAATGAAAGAACGAATAATAATAATAAAAATCAGCAAAGACAGTCAATTTTCATCTCATGATTCACTCTAAACCCTTAACTCAATATTAATAACACTAGTGTGTTAAGGTTTCTCAGAACAATGTTGAATGCTTTAACACTTCATCTCATAATTATCTGCAAATATGGGTGTCATGCAAATCTTGAATTCCAAGTATCCTGACTCTAAAAACACTCCAATTACAACGAAATCTTAGCTAAAAATGTGTTGATATTTTCTTATATGAATATACCATCTTAGGATTAGTGAATTCCTGCACAACACATGAACACATGAAAGGCAAATGGGTTTAATAATCTCTATACAGTAGTTCCATACAGCTACAGTACATCATTACTCAACAACTGTCACTCGTGATCAACCTGCATCATTTTGCTACTATGTACAGTAATTATGTAACATTTACTACTAATGAAACAAATATGGAGGGTAAAGAAAAAATTTCTTGAAAATTTACAATTTGATGGAATAATGATTGTAAGTCCATGCATCAATATACAGTAAAGGACAAAACTGTATTCATGTATATGCTTATTAATACAGTATAGTACAAGTAGAATAAATGTTTAAGTATAAACAGTTGCCTCCACACGAACTTAACACAGCCTGGAAGTGTGTGTGTAAGGGTTCGGGTACGACATGTGGCAAGGCAACGCCGTAGTCATGGCTGAATGATTGTGAGTGAAACGGTGAAATCACCCTGTTTGTGTGGCCAGACATCAATGCTGAAGAACACTTATCACATAAATGCCTCATTTATGTTTGCAGCATTGTTGTGTACCCACAACCAAGTAACTAAGAGACAAGGCAATCCATGGTTTCACACCCATGACTACGGCGCTGCATTGCCACATCTCGCACCTATGCCCTCACACACTCCCAGGCTGTGGTGCATTCATGTGGAGGCAACAGTACTTAAGCAAGACTTTGCTTACAAGTGTTCTTACATACATGTGTGGATTTACAAGTAATATATTGTATCCAATGTTAGTAAACTTGTTGCCAAATGGGATTGCAGTTATCGTACAGCTCCCTCCTCCTCCCCCACTTTTTCTCTTACCCTACTTTTTTTCCTGATGTTTGGATTAGTAAAGGAAGGAAGAGGAGTAAATAGAATAATAAAGAAGGTGGGAGTGAAGTGGAGGAAGGGAGGTGGAGGAGGGAGGGAAAATGCAGGGGTGGTGGGGGGAGGGAGCTGAGTTTCATCATGTCTCTGGATGCACAGTTTCAACGTTACCAGACCATTTTCGGACCTTATAGCTACAGTGTGTATACTTATTCCTGTGGCCGACTGTACATACAGCAAAACCTTGATAAATCGGACTTCAATATATATTGGAATTCGCTTTTTTTCAGACTCTCCGAAGTGCTCCGTAATGTCTCTCTATTTATCGGAAATAGTTTTAAAAATTCCGGGAAATTGTGCATCATTCCCCAGGTGCCTCAGTCTGAGTCCCCACATTTATACGTACTCGTATCACTGTGTCTCGCTACCCACACTCATTTACATGAACTTAGGTGATTAACTACAAACTTTTTGTGTTGTGATGGTTTACCCAACCCCATCAATGTCTCGTGCCTCTACAGTAATATTAAGTTCGTACAGTCAACATTAAGTATAGTTTGCTAAGTGAAAAGACCCACATACAGTACCTGTATTATTTAAGTTGTATATAGAAAATGATTTCTATCCAGTTTAAATTTTAAGTGCCAAACCATTAACATATTGTTCTGTAAAAGTGCCTCAAACTAAAGTGTACCTGAACATCATAAGTGTGTCGTCTACTTCCATTACTGAGTCTACCATTTAGAGCATCTAATAAGGTAAATAAAAACATCTTTATCAGTTTTATATATTTTGTTCAGTTTAACCATAAATGATGGCGAGCATTTTATGTAGAGTATGTATTGTATTTAATGGGGATACTGTACAGTGGTGTAATCAGATTTAATATAGGACTAACTAATAGGTACGAGACATAACACTTTGTGTAAACGTGCTGGAGGTGGGGAAGTTGGGACTTCCCATTGTCATACTGTATTTGCCAGTCAGTTGTTTTTATTCATTCATTCATCATTATATTCTCATATGATCAGCCTCTTATGGTGTATGTGTTATCAATAATTATATAAAATATTAAATAATAGGAAAATGTACGCAATATCATTTGCAATTCGACCACAAAATATAATGGAGATTAAGATGGACTGCAGCAGGTGTGTGTGTGTGTGAGACGTTATGCAGTACATGCTTATCTACCATTTTCTGTAGCTGAATGTGTGTTGAACTTAAAGCCTGGGCTGACATTTTGTCGATAATAATCAACATTTATTCAATGCTCGTGTACAATATTAATTACTACACGTCCACTCACCATTTTTTCTTGTGTCGGTGGTGCCTCGGGGAGTCAGCCGATGAATATTAATCAACATTCATGCATTCTCATACAGGCTGAAAAACAGTTCAATAAAAAACCTTTAAAAATCATAGGAACTACTTACGAGGTCTCCTTCACTTTTGCATGAGGAAGAATTATAACTCGCCTGACAAACTCTTGATTTTTTAAACTGACTCGCTGAAGTAGCTTTCACTCGTCAGGGGCGAGTACCCGGTATGATTGGGCAGCCCTGGTTGGTGACACACTCCTACCCAGTACACATGGAGAAGCACTTCTACTATTTATATTATGGGTAAACACTTTACAGTACAAAAGGTCACATAGGTGAAAACAGCACATTACTGTAATTAACATCCAGACATGTCTGATTTTCTGGAAACAGTCCAGATAAGCAGGGTTATGTCTGGACCCTCATAAATTTGTTTTTTACGAACTTGGGTTTGCCACAATTAGTTCGGTTTATCAAAGTTCTACTGTATTAGAACATTAGTGGGCACATGTGTGTATGTCATTGTATCTTGAAAATAATATGACTTCATATAATATCAAGTGTTAAAAAACTAGTTTCTATATACAGTACTGTATTGTATTCATCTTCATATATTAACACCCAGTGTAGAGGCAGTACAGTACTGTACTGTACTAAAATACATCAATACACACATAAAAATTTAAAATCACTAAAAGTCACACACACAAAATGGAAATTTTTATACAAAAAGTACAAGTCAAACCAATTAGTCATACAGCCTTTATCTTTATATATACAGTATATATATATATATATATATATATATATATATATATATATATATATATATATATATATATATATATATATATATATATATATATATATATATATATATATATATATAAGGCCTGACATATTCTTTTGGTACTTATCTCAGTTACTTAAAGATAAAAAATATTCTTTCTTAATACTGCACTAGTTTCTAGTATTCATGTGATGAATGACTTTTCAAATCCTGGTAATAAAACTTTTATTCATTAATTCTACTGACCTTGATGAGCAGCAGTGACTTTGGTCAAAATAACATTACAGTATTTAATGCATTATTTATTATTTAATATGCTTACTTTGTATATGGTCATAAGATGATATAGAATGAATGAATAATATTTGTACAATATGAATATAAAAAAAGGGATGAAATGTGTACAGTATATTATATACTACACTTTCCCATCATTCGGCACCATTCACTCATTCTTTGTCTTGAAAGATGTGTTCTAATATGGCACTCCTCATCCACAACAAGGCCCCTTGACCTATCACTTCCCTCTTCAGCAGCACATTCTTTCTGATATACAACTTGAAGCAATAGTCTCTGCTCACTACTTCATCCTGAATGTCCATGCTCCATTACCCCTTCACTCCATCTCTATCTTCGTTTTCCTGCCCCCTCTAACCATCCATCTCTGAAATATACATCTAAACCAATTTTTCATTTCCCATTTTCTCACGTCTCAACATGGTCACCTCACCTAAACAGTCACTGATCTGCGCTCTGCCCAACACTTCCTTAATTCTTCCTTATAAAATCTGCATTGGATATTTTGCTTTCTGCATCTTATTTACTCAAAAGTATTTCCCTCAAATGTATACAGTAATTTCTTTCATTTCTTATTTGCTCCTTCTTCTTTAATTCATAGTCCACACTTCACACCCATATCACAATGGTAGCTCAACAAATCCCCATCTTAATGTCCACCTTTTAATTTCTTTTCTTCCTCTACTCTGTGGTTCAGTTTACCATGGATCATTCCATCTGCTGATAAATCCACTTCCTTATATCTGGAACATTGAACTTTCTCCAATCTATTTTCATTGAAGTTAATAACTAATTCCTTCTGTCTCCCCCCCCCCCTTTTTACCTATTTTCATTACATTACTCCTAGAAGTTAAGTTCATATTGTTCATATTCACTATGAATTATTTTCTCCTACTATACACTCTTCCAAACTTAATCACTAAATTTTAAAATTAGGCAAGTAAAATATATATATATATATATATATATATATATATATATATATATATATATATATATATATATATATATATATATATATATATATATATATATATATATATATATATATATATATATATATATATATATATATATATATATATATATATATATATATATATATATATATATATATATATATATATATATATATATATATATATATATATATATATATATATATATATATATATATATATATATATATATATATATATATATATATATATATATATATATATATATATATATATATATAACTCAAGTGTAAGACACAAAATTACTCTGTCACTTAAGTAATGAAATAAAAATATCTGCTACACTACTCTTGACTTAAGTTACTTAACCTATATTAAGATTCCAGTGTTGAATTGTCAAATAAAAGACGCATATCATCCATGCTTTTGAATAATATATCAGCAAACTTCCTGGAATCAGTTGTTGAACATGATTTCTTGGAAGATACATGGAAGAAAATGTTATATTCTGTAGGAAGCATGTAGGAAACTCCATAGCCTTCATCTGACACTGGACCAAAGCCTCCACCAGGTGAACACTGTTGATAAAAACCATGATACTATTAACATCAAATTGTCTTCAACACAAACTAATAAAACCTGAATGTTGGGAAGAATCATTTTTGCGATCAATAACAATGAAGGAGTTAGTGAACAGCCAATCTAAATACTTATTTTAAAATGACAAATATCTGCAGGAGGAGGAGGTTCATTTTCCATACATTTTCTAACAAGTGTATACCCCTTATAGTTCATATATGAAATATAATGCTGTAATAGAAGAGACAAGGTATGTACTGTATAGTACAGTACAATAATGAGACAGGTAGGGTATGTAAAGGTATCCCCTGGTATATGTTTGCTTAATAAATGAAAATAAATTTTACTGAAGTCACATTTTGTCCCTTTTTTCTTTAAACAAAAGCAAACATTTGCTTTAACAAATAACAATCATATTTTGACACCCAATTTTTCTTAATACAAATGTAAACATTTGTTTTAATGAATAGAAATAACTTTTTGTCATCCCTTTTTCTTTGAAGAATGCAAACTTTTAGACAGTCACCCAGCATGCTGAGATGTGTTTATGCTCTACTGTACCTGCACAATATTCATCATTTTCAATGTATTAAATTTCATTCTTTTCTATTATTTTTAAAGGATGTATAGTGGTGAACTTTGTGTGAAAAACCTCAGTTGACTAAAATTTTCCTAATTGAAATTTAATCCCAATTAACACACAGTCAGATCTACCATTCAATAGAGGGTTACTTTCATTTCCTTGGAATGTAACCCCAAACATACAAGGGTTCTACCATCCCAATATACATTCTTTCACTTAACACATGCAGTAGATTTCCAGAAACAGAACCTCTTTGCATATTGGGGGACACCTGTAATAATGGGGTAAATTTAAAGTCTACTGTACTTTCAACAATTTCAACTAAATATCTAATAAATATCCCTCATGCTTTTTATCTTTATTTCAATGAATAAGTAGTTTTAAAATACCATTGTTCGAAAAGGTTCCAAGTTAATGTCAGGAATGTTTGCTTGAATCTGCTGTTGAGGTTGCTGGGATGTTGACAGCGTCCACTGCCTGCGAATGATGGATTCCAAAAACTGACTTTCCTGTGTTGAGAGAAAGAAAAATAACTATTATATCCCAGAACACAATAAACTGTAAACTATTCCTTGCATATCTTAATATGTGTTTAAAATATCAACAACATTAACAAATAAACAATTTGAAACATAAAACAAAAGAAAAACTCACATAGCCAAGTCCCTTCGAGACAATATAAAGAGCAAACAGATGGCGATCAATTCCTAAGCCATTCATCGCATCACGGTAGAGTTTCTGGTGATGATTACCTGCTGCTCTCAATAATTTTAGCAGTTCTTCTTTTGGGAGCTTCCCATTCACCATTGCTCTAAAAAGTTAGAATGTTTATGAATAAGGAAATTATTCACTCTTAAAATCAAATACAAGATGTCCCCAGTTTATTAAAAAAATAAAATAAATTATAAGTTGTTCGTTCGAAAGTTGGAATTAAATTTCTCAAAGACACAATGTTATAAATGGTAGTTAAGTTCCCTAACCAGCCCAAAAAAGCCTATTTAACCAAACATCTTTTCTAATCAAGCTGTTCTGCCTAATCATTGCCAACATATTAGGGAACAAATTCTGATATTAATTGTTGAGTTTCAAATGTCCAGCACCCCCCCAGCCCCCCATCACCAACCCCAGTGGGTGAGCAATGGCAGTCCCTGCCACCTGTCAGCAGGACCTCACTTTAGAGGTACCGGTAACAAAACCATCTAAAGGTCGACCTAGGTGTGTCTGTTTATTGTACAACAGGAATGAATAGCAGGAGCCGTGCTATAAGGTGTAACTTGTGTGAAGACTGGGTGCATGAAAGATGCGCAGACTTTGTAACAAAGAAGGAATATGAGTCTGTCACCGAGTGGTCAAATTCCCGACTTTGTATGCAAGATGTGCCTAGATGACCAACAATCTATACCACAAGTACCATCAAACACAACAACAGACCGTGAGGGGGCTTGCATCTTGGGCATATTAACTCAAGGTCATTGCTGTTAAAGATGTCGGAATTCAGAATTCTAGCTTCTAAAACTAGGGTCGCCGTAGTCTGCGGTATCAAGGACATTTATCTCCTCTTGTGCATTACCCATCACTGCCTCAATTTTTACACCTGAGCTATGTGGCATTTTAGCTGCACTGCAGTGATTTTTTAGGTATAATGATCATTTTAAACATTACTATTTTTTGTGATTCGCATAGTGCCCTACAGGAACTTGAGTTTTTTAACTCGTTTCATCCCCTGATCGTCAAAATTTTAGAGTGGCTCTTTCTACTCAAGCAGCGTGGGTGGGTGGTCCAGTTCTGCTGGGTACCTGCTCACATCAGGGTTGACGGCAATGTGGCGGCCGATGCGGAGGCAAGACGTGCAGGGGCGGCGGTAGGCCAGCCCCAAAAAAGGCCTTTCCCTCACTGTGACATCCACCATGTACTCAGGGGGACTGTCCATCGCTTGTGACAGGACCAGTGGGCTAGAATGGGGATAAACAAAATGTGGAAGATAACTGATGTGGTGCATCCATGGAGGTACCTGACGATGCCTCGCCGGTTGCAGATTGCCTTGACTTTTCTCTGTATCGGCCAAACCCGGTTAATACACGGGTATTTTATGGACAGTGGCGCGACAACTGCCTGGTCCCCTTGACTGTACCACACTGGTTGAGTGCCCCAGTCTGGGGGACCGGTGGCATGGGCACCTCTCCCGGTGCCGTGGGGGAGATGGTTCTTACACTCTGTGGTGCTGGGGGAAAAGTCATGCTGTCCGGGTGGTGAGACTCTTATGTTTTAGAAGGAGGCCGGCCTCCTATATCTTTTATAGGTTTATTTATTCTTGTCGTTTCCTTCCTGGTCGTTTTATATCAGGTTTTGTTTTATTTTCCATCACTTTAATTTTAGTTCAACATTTTACCATTAAATATCTCCTGTACCTTATGATCATGGCTGCTGCAGCACTAAGATAATACAGTGTATTCATAATCATTCATTCAATTCTTATACCCCAAAAAATTTTTACCTGACAAATGTTGCAGCGTCCTCTGTACAGGATCTTACTGTTTCTGTCCGTCCATTTTGGTAAAGCCGTGTTGCTGATGCTTCATAAGTTTGACAAAATCTGAAAGATTAAAAAGAATTAACACAAGATGTAGCTAATCAAATCTCCAGGTGATAAAAGGGAGTAATGTACGTGTCATTACATGACAGCAAAGTGAAAAAAAGTAGATCCCCTAAGCTTGACTGCCCAAAAGGGACAGTATGGCTACAGCACACCATAGAGCCAGCGCCTGGCTACAGCACACCATAGAGCCTGGCTCCAGCACACCATACAGCCAGCGCCTGGCTACAGCACACCATACAGCCAGCGCCTGGCTACAGCACACCATACAGCCAGCGCCTGGCTACAGCACACCATAGAGCCTGGCTCCAGCACACCATACAGCCAGCGCCTGGCTACAGCACACCATACAGCCAGCGCCTGGCTACAGCACACCATAGAGCCAGCGCCTGGCTACAGCACACCATAGAGCCAGCGCCTGGCTACAGCACACCATACAGCCAGCGCCTGGCTACAGCACACCATACAGCCAGCGCCTGGCTACAGCACACCATACAGCCAGCGCCTGGCTACAGCACACCATACAGCCAGCGCCTGGCTACAGCACACCATACAGCCAGCGCCTGGCTACAGCACACCATACAGCCAGCGCCTGGCTACAGCACACCATACAGCCAGCGCCTGCTTAACGTTATGATTCGTCACGAGGACATACATTAGGCAGTGTTTGCCTAATTTCCCATCGAAACTCATGTTATAAATTGAGATATGTCCCAAAACATTCACTCTCTAACTTTACTTTACTCTGAACCATCGCATTGAATGACAGGATGGTGAAATATAAGCACACACGATACTTAGTATAGTTCAAAGAGTAAGTACTGTATACAACAGGAGTGTTTTCATGTACAGAAAGGTCAAAGAAAATGTGTTATTTTAGATGTGAAAATGGATGCACTTAGATGCTTTAAAAATGGAGAATGAACTTTGGACATCGCTAGAGCCCAGGCTCAACATTTCACATCATTTCTGGTGTTTTTACAATCATATTCGTTGAAGATAAATTATCCAAAATCTTTGTTAGGAGTAAATCTCAACATTTCTCAAGGTTTTAAAATCATTCCTCATATTTTCATATCTTCTTGTTTGATTTCCTTTTTGTTCAAAGAAGCTCTGGACGTTTAAAATAATTTTGTGTGTTTTATTATTTCTTCTTTTGATTTTTGTTTCTTTCAAAAAACTTAAAAAAATTTATTCAAAGTTTTATATTTTTAAGGAAAGAACGGGACCATTTATGTGAGAAAAATATCATAAAAAATAACTCATACGAATGTAAATACTGTACTACAATTAATAACATACTATTGGTGCAGTAGCAGTATGATTGAAATATAGTCCAGAACATTCTCACCCTAGTTTAACCTAACATTCTCACCCTAGTTTAACCTGAGTTCTTACCTAAATTCTTGTCATCTCTAAATATTCTGATTTTTTTCTACTTACAATTTATAAAAAGTCAATAATCAATCTCAGCAAAGCATGAATGTTGACCAAGTATAACGCCTACGATGAAGAGAATGAGTTATAGTCACCACTGCCACACTAAGGAGCTCATGGATGATACCCATAACACAAGCTAATTTTGCCTCCTGAATGATTCCTGCAAACTCTAAAGAATATTCTGATACAGGTAATTTATCTTTTTTTTACCTTAAATTACTGCTTCAACTTGCATACTAGACACGAAGAATAGTTACAGACAAAAAGAGATATTGCTTGAAGGTAGAGGGGGGGGGGGGGCTTCGAAAGGATTATTTCAAAATTTTCATTAAAAGTAACAGTACGGCTTTTTTTTTTCATACTAAAGGTTAGAATGGAACATTTGATCACAATACAATACACCCTGTACAGTACAATAATGCTGTAAACACAATTATGATCCAAGTGAAAGTAACAGCAAAAGAGAGTGACGAGTATCAGTGAGCAAGTGGTGGTGGACACCTTTAGCAGGGTGCAATGTACATATTTATGGATATACTGTACTGTACATACATATGATTGGATATATGGTAACATTATAAAACACATGTAAAGTATCTGTAAAAGTACATCCATTAAATGAATGTTAAGTGGGTGCTGTATGTATATTAAAGCCTTTTTGGTATGCAGGAAGGCAGTATGGATGGTGCTGCACTCAAACGACTTCACTTCCCAACTTGTTAAGTTAGATACCCATTTACAGCTGAGTGGACTGGTAGTGCTCTAGGATCAAACCACCAACCCTTAAGACAGGGGACAAGCACTGTATCCACTCGACTGCTGCACCCCCACAGCAAAGCAGTCATTGCTAAATTACTATACATGAATACAATTGAATCCATACATCCCCTTCTTTTCTGAACAATACAGTAGAGGTACTGTAAACATTACTTGATTTTACTTTCATTTCTCATTCTCTCTGCAATAACATGTAATTTATCTGTAAGTGAGGTATATACAGTACAGGGGTTTTCTGAAACACATAAACTGCAGTAATAACGAAACAAAAGTATTTACCTGCCACTATGGCGATAATATGCAAGCTGAAGTGCTATCTGAATAAAAGCATCTGGGCTGACCCGTGCCTTCTTCATTATACCTTTGCCAAACTTATTGTGATTCACAATCTCAAGGTCAAGGTCATCATTATTCTGTAATAGAATACATATATTTTTAAATTTTCTTCTATGTACGGCTGCCGACAAAATACTCTGGACACGTCTGCAAGCACAACTGTACTCGTATGGACGCTCAGATCATGTCACAATGTTTCACTCTTCTATCTTGTGCTCTATAAAGCAAGGCACAGGAAACTGTTAATTATAAGCAGAATTTTTGGCCTTTATGTAAGTTTATGCTGTCTGTGTTTTCTCAGATGCTACCAGATGTGTTGCGAGTATTCTGTGGGCGACTGTATATAACTTTTTATAAAATTTAGTGATTTACATGAACTCTGAAGTTCACATTTCATCTTTGTTTTAATACATTTTGTTTCAAGACATTTCAATGCTTAATGTTCAGTGGCTAGAAGCAAGAGAAAATATACAAACAAGTTTTTTCTTCATTCATCTATGATTCTATACAATACTTACTAGTGTAAAATATGTGTTCTATTATGGGATTTCCCTTCCAAGCAAGGTTTACCCCTGTTGCTTCATATAAACCAGCATCATCTGTTGGCACTATATTTGTTTTCTCTCTTTACTGATACCGAAGAACTCAGAAACCACATGGATGGTTTGAAAAAGCTCATTCCATCAAGGAAAGAATTATTTTATTTTATTACATATAATTTAACAAAGTTAAGTGTGCAGCTGTGCCTCCTCTAAAATGGTAGTGTCTGCCTCAAAGGAAAATTCCTAAACACAAAGTGAATCTCCAAAGCAAATACACATGACATGCACTCAATGTTAACTCTACTCAGCTGAAATGAAGTGCTCTGATAAGAACAATAATCCTTAGGTTGCACATCAGCTTAAGAGAGGGTTTCTTTATTATTAAATAAAGAAAATCAATACAAACTATGTAGCAATCAAGCTCTGTAATGTTGACTCACAAGAGACACTAACCAACAAATTGATGTAACATCATGAGAGCAGTTATTAAAATAAACTCTCCTGGTGACCTTTCTAGGAGTTAGGCAATAGAGAAGTTTTATACACACACTTACAGTCACACAAAACTGTTAGGTGGGCCACAAATATCTTACCTTCTGATTGAAAACAACTGCTTTATTAATTTCTTTCTCGAGTGCATCTGTAATGTCCCAGATGATTCGACGTGGATAGGAATAGTTGCTCTGTTTGAAAAACTTGGGTGGAGGCATCACTTGTCCATTGTCTAGATATCTTTTCTCAATTACTCTGTGTCAGAAAATTTATTTCTATAAGTAGGATTGCATTGTTCACTTCATATTTTGTATATATTGCAGTAACTGTGTGTTATAATGCTATAAAGAAGCACACTTGTAACTGTCAATAAGACTAAAAGATCTTAAAATTGTTTAAGGAAACATTTACCTATTTTTGCTCTATCTAATTAATTTACAGAGTGCCTCAAAATACCTCGATGTATATCTAAACAAACTACCCATATCTGAATCTCATAACACTTTTTTTAATAAGACCAACATGGCATGGTCAGATGCCCTGAGTGCAGCTATGTTGGAGAATAGAGAAAGAGGTCAGTGCATACTTCAGAAATAGTCATAGAACCAATGAATGAGGGTGAAAAAGTTATGCTCAATGACGGAGCCAGTCAAAATTTTAGATATTAGAAGAGACTGAAGAAAGAATGTGTGGTTGTATTTATGTAAGCTGGAACCCAAGGAAAACCTGAACCTCAGCCTGGCATATGCATGGTGAGTGAGGGTAAAATTGAGGCAGCTTTGTACTGATGGTCTAGGGTCCTGGAGTAAGACCTGCCTAAATGACCATATCATGGTGCTAGCACCACTATATTGTAATGGCTACTCAAGTCTTGCATGGTATTTCAACAAATGAGTCAAGGCTCAGCCAAATCTATTACATATACTTTTGGCAGGAGTTATATTTTATCTAAAAAATAAGGATTTGCTCCCATATTCATCCTACTTCATTACAACACAATCAAGATGAAATAAGAGTCTTGTAAGATACATCATCATTAAGCACCACGAGGCAGAGTCTATTTTGTCTCAGGGTTCAAGTTTACACTGTAGATAAATATGGTTATCCTGGCATAAGGCCTTCTATGCCCTCTATTGGATAATAGCAGGTTCTGAATAAAAGTACACTACTTGGTAGTACTGTACTGTATTCGCAATCAACCGCCCAAATGGCTGATAAGCGGCGAAATGATAATAAAATCAGTAAATGAAAAACAGAAACTCACTCCATGGTCATAGCGTACTCCCATACATGACCCATGGCAGGGGCATCAGCCATGGAGTGTTCTACATTCAAGCCACACTGTCCATCAGGGAAGAAGCATATGTTAACACTCTTGTCACTCCTGAAAATAGAAAACATTGGCAAGTTTTAGGCCAATACATTAGTTAAGTTCACAATAATATGCTATCCAAACTTGATGAGATAAATGCACTTATATTGGTTCATTCTCAAGAGTTGGACTGAGTCTCTAATATTCACGGAATAATAAGTAAGTAATGACTAAATAAAAGAAAAAAAGATGCATCAAATCTCCTTCCTAGATCATATAACATTAAAGGTTCTCGAGGGAGATGGATGATGGAGAACACAAAGGTCTTCATGTACAGTAATCTGTGCCTTAAATAACATTCTTTAGTAAAACAAACTGTGATAAAGTTAATTTGGGATAAACGAGAACTACCTGTACAATAATTGTGATTTTTGTCAGAATATGTTCAGTCTTCACAAGGGTAATCCATAATAATACCTGTGTTGAGAAATTTTGGGATGAAATGATGGCAAAGACAGAGTATTAGAGTGCAATAAACTCGGTAAGTTCTCCAGCATCCTGTGTGGATAAGTGACATACATAAAGGAAGGTTATATTGAGGTTTGAAAGGTCATGAACCAGAGAGCAGGCCATAAACTGATAGGGAAGTTTGGATTTTTTTTTTTTTTTTTGGTCTGGGCAATTCCCCCAGTGTGAGTTCTAACTCCTTCAGGGGAATGATGTGTTGGAAATATAAGATAGAGAGGCAGACAGAATGATTCACAAATAGCTCACACAATCTCTGACAGATTTTAATGCAACTCTTAACCCTCCGGTATTCATAGCCATAGTCAGAAATCTCGCCCCCTTGCAGTCTTTCGGTGCAGGTTGTGTCAGTAACAGGAATGTGTTATCCATTTAATAAACACTGTATAGAGTTCACCTTTAGAGATGCATCTGCCAGCCCATGAGGCCAGTGGGAGGAACTTAGGTGGTTGATAGGGCCGGTCTACTGTTCCCGCATTTTTGCTTACAGGAAGGGTGCTCTAAGTGTGAGATATGGCTGAGTGGGAAGGGTTGTGTCAGCATGAGAATGCTTAGCGGCACAATTTGCATTGAAGGACCACGAGAGGGTTAATACTGTATTTGAAAATCTTCTGTTAAGCTTATCACAAACTGTTTCTCAAGATATCCTACGTACTCACTCTTCTCTTCCAAAAGCTTAGAAAGAACATTCCCAAGCTAGGAATTTGATCCACATTCATTCTATCCTTTAATGTATCCTTCATCATCTCACAAAGAAAAACAGATTTAAATTCTGCTTACCATTTTACCATTCTTGTTATCTTATTTACTCATCCACTAACATTAGCATACAATAGACTCACCATAAAGTGCGACCATCAGAATGTAGAAGTGCTTTGCCTTTACTGGAAATGTTCTCTGGACATTTATCAAACAATATAACCTGGAAAATAAATAATTAAACATATAAGATTTTTACATGCATGCACACATATAAGCAACTGCATGTATTTTAATGCATACGTGCTCACACATGTACTTGAAAAGAAAAAATATACAGTATTGCAATTTGCCTTTTCAAAATGAATTTTTTAGCATATTGATTGAGAAATGCATCTAAATGTATCTACTGTAGGTAATGGTTACCAGATGTTACTTCTTGTCACACGGGATTCCATATGACAGCTCAGAGCTGGATTTTGAAAGCATAATGGTTCCCTGACAGTAACATTAGTAATCTCCTCAACTACTTTCTTTAAAAGAACAGTGAATGTGGTAGTAAATACTTTGTGGAATATATAGCTAAACAATAATAGTACAATATTATTCATTCTCTATATGCTTTCATACTTTAATTGCTCTGCTATCTATATAAAAAAACAGTTTGCAGCACCAGCAATTCTTGGACACCCCTTTTGATAATCCTGGATCCACCCCTGTGTAGCCTACTTGATGACTTAAGGTAAAAGATGGATGATCCCAGGGAAGAAAATTGAACCTAAGACCAAAGAAACCAAAAAATCCTGAAAATTGGTTCAGTCTTGGTCCCAAAGGTCATGGATTCGAGGGTCTATACCTGTACTGATACTATTATAGCAAAATTTTGTCCATCAAAAATATGCATATTGAGACATTACTCTACCATGAAGAAAGACACTATGTATTCATTCTCATCCGAATGGTCTTTCTCAATGTATTGTAATAGACGCGATACATAATCTATTCCTAGCACTTCTATTTTCCCAATATATTGTCTCGATAAACCACATAGGTCATCAGTTTTCACTCTATGACTATTACTTTATAGCCAATTAAGGTTCCAAGTGGAAAAGCAATTTGCTGATGATAATTAACTCTTCTGACTTAAAAATAAAATTATGCTAACCAAGAGCACTGCCTTGTCGATGAGGTCCATGTTGTCTTTATTGATTCCTGATGTGAAGTATTCTTTCCGGAATCTTGCCCAGTCTGTTCGTGGAAGACCCGTCAGAGATGCAACACTTCGTTCGCTCTCACTCACACTCTCTGTTGAGTATATAAATGGAGGATTGTGGCATGATTGGGGTAGAGAAGATGAGCACGTGACTGGTAAGAGACAGCCCACTGCCGTGTGCTCTTGGGCAGTACAGTACAGGGGTACTTACCTTCACAACATTGATGACAATGGTGGATGAGCATGATGTGGAGGGAAAGGTGACTGTTACAAGAAGAGGCAGAGGCCACTAATGCTATACTCTCCCCACACATTAGTCTATGGAACACTTCCAATTTTTATTCCAGTGTCATTACTTCCCTTGCCATTTTCACCTCACCGTTATCACTCAATGAATGCTTAGGGGGCCATAGTTAGGGGCAAAATCATTATTATTATAGTGGGAAATAAGTGAAAGAATACGAAGCAGTACAATATGTAATCAAGCTACAAGATCACAACACTTAGAGAACATGGAGAACAGTGGCAGGAGATGGGACGCTGTGCAGAGAAATACATTAGACCAGGGAGGGATAAAGATGTCCTGCTAATCCGGGGATACATAAAAGTAAATGATGCTATTGGGGAAATGGTACAGAGTGAAAACCATGGATACATGGAATCAGTGGATGGGACATCTGTAGTTGGCGAGGGTCTTCTCTTATTTCCAGCCATACCCCCCACCTGTGACCTCTAGGTTATGTTATGTTATGGTTATTTTTTTAACTAGTAATTTGGGTAGATATAGGTACATTTTTATTTTATTTAGTTACATACAGTAAAACCCGGTAAATCCAGAATCCAGTCTGGATTGAGCAATAATTCGGATAAGCCGAGTCTTTCTGTATTGGTGGACTAATCTTCCAGCTGGTGAGCAAGCCAAAGCATGTCGAAACATTTTCGTAAGAATTTCGTTAACTGAATTTTTGTTGGTTAACCGAAATGAAGATTCTTCATTAACCGAAATTTCGTTAACCGAGGCGTTCGTTAACCGAGGGACCACTGTACATGTCTCAGGAATACACCACCAGAATATTTCCAAAACATCCTGTATACTGAATAAAGTTTGGCATTGGATGACTTTTTCAGATTTGTTTTCTACTAAAAAATTCCCTAAAATGAACTGGCTGCCCACCAATAATTTCAGCAGAGAGGTAATACTGTACTGCATTAGAAAATTAGTTTGCTATGTAAAATATACTTCACATAAAACTATTACTGAAGTTACACAAAAAAGTAATGACCGGAGGCAATAAATACACGGGTGATGTCGTGCATCTGGCAGCTCTGTCTAAATTAAGCGGCCTTTTCAATATGAACCAGTTAATACCAAAGAAGTTGCTATATCCAACTGAATTCAACATTTCTTCACCAGGATTGAGAACGTTAATACTGTACTTATCAATGTTAAAACTGCTATTATATAGAGTAGAAACATTTTTAATTTTGTAAAGTCTACCACACAGGGGGAGGGGGGCTGGTGAGAGGGTTAAGACTACAGTATGTCTCAGAAGCTAAAATTAAAATATTCACAAGATGGACGTTGTTTGCTTACTTACCCTTGTGCTTATCAGCATCGTCAATTATTTCTTGGAATAGTTTCTCCAGTAAAGCTACAGACAGGATCTGGTTCTTTTCATCATAGATGCTCTGTTGGTAGAAGAGCCCTTGACGCCACACTACAATGTGACGGGATTCAACCGAGTCAAAATGAAGTAACTCATCAATTTCTTCACCTGGTACTCTGTTAGAAATAGTAATGAAATAAAAATGTTAAGTGATGACTTATAGGTGGAGCTCAAGACAACAAAATAATCAGTTGCTGTATACAACAGACAAAACATGAAAATGGTCATTTGCAAGTTAATCTAATTTGTGGTAACCTATAAAATATCAAAGTTAACTTAAAAAAATAAATTAAAATAAAAAATCAAGCAAGCACCTCCATGACTGTATGTCCTGGAGTCTTATAACAATGAGATTTAAGCAAGTGTTGTAAATGGAGGATATGAACAAGATGCATACAGTACTTGGTGCTAATCCACGAATTCACTTTCAGAGAATGTGGCTATTTTTCTATAGCAGAGGAGACAACCAACCGGTAGAGACAACACATAACGGCACATTATTAAATTACCTATAACCCCTACACACACACACACATTTTCCCTGCATACTTTGTCAATCTTTCAATGTTCATGTGACTGATGTTGTTCAGGATGTCAATGTCATACCTAACCAGTGAGCATATATGGAAGTGGAAGGATCCAGCCTCCTCTGCCAAAGCCTGAGCTTCAACTTGAGCAATATTATACTATCATTGAATACCTGTTTGTGATCCATCAATACCTTCCTTATTTTCAGTAGAATAAAATCTAACAACCTTTATGTTTTCCAATCTCATTTCAATCCATGACTTCGAAGTCAGATTAAGGCATTTGTTCAGAATGGTCCCTTGCTGTATTGCTGCTGAGAAAAATTAAGTTTCTGGGCATACCAAAAGCAACCAATGCCATCATAATAATGACTAAAAGTGTGTATTTTGTGTGGGTGAGTGGACATTTAAATACAAAGAATTACAGCAGGGGGAAGGACAGCCTGAGGTAAACATATGAGAGGACATATCAATGAACAAATTTACAGAAATATGGTTAGCCTATACTGTACTGGAGTTAGTGAGGTTGTTGTGCAAGATGTATAAAAAGTTAAATGTATATGAAATACCAGTACTGTACCTTCATTATGCTTAAGATCATGAATTACAGAAAACTTGACAACTTACCGAACAGTGGAGAAGAGTCGCTCATATTGTGCCATACAGATGGGGATGGTGTTACGTAACAGGAGAGGAGGAAGCTCTTCTCGATCAATCTGACGCTTAATGTTCAGAATGGAATGGACCACATTCGCTGCTCTTGATACCTGTGAATATTTAATATGAACTGTTTTGAAAAGATCCTGGCAAAAAGTGTTAACACAAACTTCTCTCACCCTTATAGAATACCAAACAGAAAAATGTGACTGGTTGGATAAACCATCAACACCAAAATCATGAACAGCATGCCCTTACAATTCGCAGAATTTTAATTCATGACCTTCGATTATTCGCGGATGACACCCTGGATGTATCCAAGAATGTCTGCGGGTGTTTTAAAGTTGACCACATGTTCGCGGCTGGGACAGAGAGTGCGCTAGTATTGTGGCATCCCACAAGGTGTTTCTCTTGTCCCAGGAAACTGGCCCACGCTAGCTCATTCCGCCTCAGTCTGGGATAAACACTTGTCCGTCTCGTGAGTGTGCTACTCTGCTCTCTTAACAAATGTGCTCCTCATGTTTGTGATGGTTCCCAGACACCCTCAACCACCTTCATCCAGCCACAGGAAGGCGCCCAAACAAGTGATGAGAGAAAAGAAGGTCATGACCCTCGTGGACAAGATACAACTGCTGGACAAACTTAGGAGTGGCCAACTGGAGCAGTAAGGGGAGTGAGTGACTTTGTCGTCTGCTCTTGTAACTCTCCTTCCTCCCTGCCCTATTTCACTGTTATTATTAGTGTTTACTGATCGAATAGTGCTTAATAGTTAGTAATCATGGCATTGTACCTAGGTTAGACTCATCACTGTAACCAGCAGGCTACTGGGCCAAGCTGTGAGGTGTTATGGTTGTTTTTAAACTTATATTTTCTGGTACTGTAGATATACATAACTTTCTTCATTTATTTTTACTCAGTTACATGCACACACCATCCTACATACATATTGAGAAAAGAAAATATTAATTGTTGCAAGAATAAACACGAGAAGGGAATATACATTTCTTTGTACATGAGTTACCTGGCTCAGTGAGGGAGGGGAGGACGGTCACAGAGTGTAGGGTGGAAGCGTTGCTAGGGAATCGGCATCCCAGGTGGTTTTCATTACTATGGGGAAGCGGGAAGTGTGTGCAAATGGCGACTGTGTTAAACCTTCATTTGGCTTTTATTTACTAGTTTAGCAATACAGTATTTTTTGTTGTAACTTATTTACTGGTATTATTTTTATTTATTCTTCACGTTTACTGGTACTGTATAGTATATTAATTTAAGAAAACTTTGGATACAGAAAGTAAATACACACCAAATTTTTTTCCTAAATACTGTACTCCCTGCTAAAATGAGGGACGTGTCTTATATGCCGTAAAATACAGTACCTACAGTATTGTATTTTTGGTGTTTTTCATATCATTATTTATTTTTGTATACATTTAGTACATTCACCAGAAGATATGGACATTCAGTTTTTCCAGACAGGTGGTCCCCTTTTCAGTCTGGATCTTCGAGGGTTCACCATACTTGAAGTAATGAAAATAATAATAATAATAATAATAATAATAATGAAAAAAATCATTTTTTTTTAACATACATACGGAAAATGTAACCCCCCTCCCGTCAGCATATGATATTCGCGGATTTGGCAATTCACTGCCATTTTGAGACCCAAACCCCCGTGAATTTTAAGAACATGTTGTACAGTGTTTAGTCAATCTACAGCACTTCATTAACTGTATGTTTTCTAATTGAAGTTTTGCAAAAATGATATACAGCAGTGAATACAGTATATCATCATCATACCAGACAATGTAACTACTGTATCAATAAAATGTACTTTTATTTCATCTGACGACTAAGGTAATCAATTACGAAAATCAAGATCCTGAAGCTGGAGACAGATTTGCTTGAAAGAGTCAGTCAGTGGTGGTGATGTATGTAACCTTTGAGAATATGATAGATACTTCCAGCATATGAACATTCAAATATAAATAAATTTGTTTTAGACAAAGTAGATAACTAAATGTAAAAAAAGGAGAATATTTGTTTCTGCAAATACTGTAATGTACTGCATTACTATTTTGTCCTAATTAGAAATTACAGTACAGCGTAGATCTATATTATAATAACAAGACAAGAAAAAGCAATAATTGGTCTTCATAACATAAAGCATGAAGGAATGCTCTCATCTGTCTTGCCTTACTTGAGTAATAATAATAGCCAGTCTTCTGTTTCTCAAAAGCACCAGGACTTCTAAAGAATTCACTAGCATTCAAAACACTACAAAATCAAGGACCTGAGATTAAAATTAAATATTGTACAGTACTATAACAAAATCTGACATCAAGGATTTCATTATCTCCTCAATATCCTCAACATTTATTACCTTCACACAAAGCTGTGAATTATCGGCGAAGAAATGGTAGGCAACACCATGAGAATCCAGCAGAGATGCAAAACTACTGGTATAGACTATAAACAAAAGTGATCCCAAAACTGATCCCTGTGGGACTACAAACTTCAAAGGGACCAGGTCTGAAATGGTTCAACCAACCATCACACATTGAGATTATTCTGACAAATAAGACTCGAGTAGTGAGAGTGAGTGCATTCTCAGACACCAAACAACCAAAGATCCTGAAGCAACAGATGATGATCCACCGTGTTAAAAGCTACAGAGAGATCCAGCAAGACCAGCAGGAGGACTTTCCTGTGCAAGTGTTCATTACCAAATAATAACTGTATGAATTTTACATAAGGCAGTTTCAGTTGAATGACAATTATTCTTAGAAAGTTGGTGGTGTAAAGTGGTAGAATACTTGCATAGTATCATATTAAATCATGCTTCACTTCCTCCAAGCAGGGTGTCCTCTTACACACAAAACACCACACGATGTTTAAAATGTAATAACAATTTGAGATTAATACGAATAACAAAATATAATTTTAAAAACACTAATACAGTAGAGTACTGTAGTGTATATTACATTTTTAATAATAAGAATTAAAACGAGAAAAAGTTGAAAACAGACTCAAGTATCAAATTAATGCACATTTACTAACCTGTTTATTAGTTGGAGTCCATTTGTAGTGGTCTAAGGCATAGTAGTTTGAATTGATGAGCAATGGACATCGAGACATCAGGTACACATACTTCTCCCTGAGAATGGTAAAGTAATGATATCATACTCTTGATTTCAATGATACTGTATACTTTTTGGCTGTAGTCACAGTGTATCTTACTTGACACCTTACACTGTACATGTACTGTACTTTGTAACTCAATTATTTTTTTTTCTAATTTAATGTTTCATATTTTCTTACCATTTATTGGATTATATTTTGCTGATTTTATTTTCCCTTTATGTTTAATCCTTAAATTGTCCAAAACCTTACTGTTTACCATCATTGTATACCTGGACTGTCAAGGTAAAGTCAAAGACAAAAGTTGTGTTACCCAGCGTTATGTTCCTGAAACTCATGATGAATTTGGGTAAAGTGACAGTGAAGCTTTGAGTCTCACCAGGGAACTTTACCCAAATTCTTCATTGTAGGTTTCAAAGTTAAGGTGAAACACGACTTTTTTTTCTTTGACTGTATCAAGGAAACTACTGTATCCCTAGTTTAGTGATAAGGATGCGTTCCTGAAAAGCCAACCTCTAAGTGACATGATTACTAAATTAGGGGAAAACGAGAAATATCCCAAACGAGGAATAATATCCGAGATATAGTACATAATTGTGTAGCCTAGTCGCTCAATTGGCCAACTAGCCTCCCAGTAGTACTACAGGATTCAGGATCAGGTCAGTGGACCCCAGACCTGAAACTGAATTCTGTCATCAGGAATATTAACCCTAATCTCCTCCCTACCTCTACTCAGGAGACAGGTCATGTGACTCAATTCCTTTGTTCTATGTCTTTCTCCCTTGTGTTCTGTTAGTTGGCTGAAGAGGGTCCTTGTATACCAGCTATAAGATTTTGTCTTTCATTTCTCCAATGTGAGTTTTTACTTAATTTACCAGTGTGGCCATTACTCTTTTGGAATATCACCTCACAATGTACAGTAAGTGATATATTTATTTATTGATGTATTATTTATTTATTATCACTTTAACTGTTGTATATACTGCACAGTACTGTATTGTATACAATACAGCATTTTCTTTGTGTATTTATAAGCCACATTACAGTACTGTAATGATGTGCACTTGGAACACACAATCCCCAGTTTTTCCGACTTCCCTCCCAAATTTTTCCCAGTGAGTCGAAGATCACTAAACCAAAAACTAACAACTGTAAAGCAACATACGGTGTTGAAAATTATAAATCGATAAACAAAAATATCACTAAGTGAATGATCACTAAACAAGGGATGCCTGTACTCCCATGGTCTATGTACACCATATACTGTACCTGCATTGTCTATACGGTAACCATGCTGAACTGTATACAGTACCTGTATAGTTTATATACTGTACACGCCTATCCAATTGTAAACCTGAATGAAAATTTTACCGAATATAAATTACAGTATTGTTGTTATTACAAACTTCCAACTCCCTATCTCGTATATGCAGAAAATCAACTACGTACAAGTATTTAGAAAAAAATAAAAATTAATAAATTAAGAAATATTATTACAGTACAGTATTCTATATAAAAATAGAGAATATTAAAATATAAATTGAATTCCTAGCTTCCCTGTGGCATATGAATGACCAGAACCTGTGGTAATGAAAACTCTGAAACAGTAACCATAGGTTCAGTAGGAGGAGCAGGAGTAGGAAGGGTAGAGTTGGAATCATCTGAGGTGGAGTTAGAGGAGAATAAGGTGCCAAAGAGATTGGCTTTATCAGGGGGAGAGTTGGCTATAGAGTTATCAGGTCAGAAAAGAGGAGGAAAAAAGGGAGTGCAGAAGTTATTACAGATGTTTTTGGTTAAGGACCAGAAGGATTTACTAGAAGAAGAGTTAGTCAGGACCTGCGGTCTTTCTTTTTGTAAAATTCTGCCTGACCCTACGAAGAATACCTTACAACGATTCCTAGAAGTAATGAAAGAGGAATGAGTAACAGGAGATGGAGATAAAATTGGATCTCAGGCCGCGAATGTTGGAAAAATTAAGTGGGAAAAAAGTTGATCCTCCAGCAACCGCGGTGACTTCAGTTGAGGCCCCAGTAGTTTGATGATGGTCAGGTCGGCCCTGAGGTCCACAACCTTCTCGGCCAGTGGGACCATCCAAGAAGGCCCTGCTTTAATGTTAATGTATTGTCAACTGATATCATAGGAGAATAAAAGAATAGAAAAAAGAAAACAAATCAAGAGTGAGAAAAGATACAGTATGTATGTTGTGTTGTTAAAGTAGGAGAAACAATTGAGACCCTACAATTGTGTGTAAACCAAGCAGAAAGTCAGATCAGCAACCTGGGACTTGGTCACATATGGCAGCAGGGTCTACCATTAGACAACACATTATGCTTCCAATATCCTCCGAGGTGGTAATACCTCCATTTGATAGCTGCCACTACCTACTTCATTCACCTGTATGTAAACATGCAACATCTTTTGTGTTAATTTAATATTTTTCTATAAATTTGGACCAAAAAGAGGCATCCAGAGCATAACCCAAATTTGTCATTACTGTACAGGTTATCAATTGTAAAATTGGGTTTTATTTTATCCTACGTTGTGTTGTCCAGGAACGCTCCCCAACATAAACAAAGGGCTTACCTTTATCTCTTATTAATACATGTGTTGTGGCTGAAAAACTACAGAAATAAATTTTTTATTTAGCATAAAGTTTATTGTATATGGTGTAACTTCCCAAAATGTTCAGATGACTAAACTCTACAAACAGTTACTGTATGAGACAATATTGTAGTTCACATTAGACCTTATTTACTCACCACCAATCAGACACATAATTTGGTGCCCACCAAGACTTGAGGTAAAGAAGACGTTGTAAACGAGGGCCAATACTGCTCTCAAAGTCATTTGCTTGTTTAGCATATTCCTTAAATTCTTCCTCTGAGCACAAAGGCTTCAAGCTGTCCAACAACTTACCTAAGAACAAGGTGAAAGAGAAAAGAGAATAAATTTAAGAAAAAAGGCTAAAAAATATAATAATTAATTTCATTACAGTACTATTACAGTAGTGTACTGTGTAATAGACTAAGAGAGGTGGGTCTGGCATCACATATCACAGACAGGTTGAGAAAGAATATGAAAAGGTAAATCTCCACTATGGGGAGAATATTTGTGAGCCAGTTGGGTTTTTATAAAAAGCTGGTGGTGATAAGGTTACAAGACTGGTGATGGCTCACACCAGTTATCAATCACACTGTGTACAGTCTCCTCAATGGGGATTTGAATCCAGGGCCAATGAACCGTCAACCCAGTACAATAACAATTTTGCTGCCACATCCTTCTGTGTTTCAATTGTTGTGCCAAAAATTTTTTGTAGATCTATGGTGTCATCAATGAACTGAAGGGAGGGGTAATAATGGTGATAACAATATATTCAATAATTACCCAGAACATCCACCATATCCATTCTGAATAGATTCATGTCTTCCTCAAACTATACAGAAAGAATTATTACACTACACATGATGTATACACTCAGTATATCCTTTAACAAAAACAGGCTGACAGATGGATGAATCCCTCCACAATATCCTCCTCTCCATTGATGGTGGATGGGATAAAATTTTGATTCATAAATTAGTGGCAATTTCATTCATCACTGTTAATGTTAATGAATATTTACCATAATACAATATACAGTATAATCAAATACAACATATGCACTAGACTTAGTTATCAATAAGTATTAGACAAGCATAAATATTTATTTTGTAAACTGATGATTTTACTATTTAACTTACTGAGTGTCTCATCAAGTGGAGGCACTGGCATCCGGGGGAGGGAACGCTGGCAGGAGTACAGAGAAGGCTGGTACCCTGACACAAATTTCACTGTCAGACCCCACAGTTTGGTCTTCAGTGACACTTCCCTCACATTCTCATCTGTTGGAACAACATAAAAGAGTTTAGAATTACAAATTTCCCATTAACTTCTTTTTGTTTGAAAATTTCACAGAAGTAATCACTAAAGCATAAGAGAAGCAAAACTAAAATATAATCTACTTGGACAAAATAGTATTAGTAATGAAGCTGCACAACAACAATGTTAAAATTAAAGTGTTATCTAATTAAAAACAAAAATAAAATAATTTGGATGACTTCATAGAGATGCAAGGACCCTCTACTTCAACTAAACATTTAGGATTACAGTAGTATCAAACCTTATCATGAGCCTAATATAGTACTGTACTGTACTGTGCATTTGGCCCACCTATTGGTTTCAAAAATTTCACTGGCTACTGTAGGTCATTCAAGACAAATGTTCCTGTTTAAATTAAAAAAAATAAGCTAAGGTGCACCATATGAGTCACCTGGCACTCAATATTGAAACCAGGCTGGAGAGAGAGAGAGAGAGAGAGAGAGAGAGAGAGAGAGAGAGAGAGAGAGAGAGAGAGAGAGAGAGAGAGAGAGGGAGAGAGAGAGAGAGAGAGAGAGAGAGAGAGAGAGAGAGAGAGAGAGAGGGAGAGAGAGAGAGAGAGGAGAGAGAGAGAGAGAGAGAGAGAGAGAGAGAGAGAGAGAGAGAGAGAGAGAGAGAGAGAGAGAGAGAGAGAGAGAGAGAGAGAGAGAGAGAGAGAGAGAGAGAGAGAGAGAGAGAGAGAGAGAGAGAGAGAGAGAGAGAGAGAGAGAGAGAGAGAGAGAGAGAGAGAGAGAGAGAGAGAGAGAGAGAGGAGAGAGAGAGAGAGAGAGAGAGAGAGAGAGAGAGAGAGAGAGAGAGAGAGAGAGAGAGAGAGAGAGAGAGAGAGAGAGAGAGAGAGAGAGAGAGAGAGAGAGAGAGAGAGAGAGAGAGAGAGGAGAGAGAGAGAGAGAGAGAGAGAGAGAGAGAGAGAGAGAGAGAGAGAGAGAGAGAGAGAGAGAGAGAGAGAGAGAGAGAGAGAGAGAGAGAGAGAGAGAGAGAGAGAGAGAGAGAGAGAGAGAGAGAGAGAGAGAGAGAGAGAGAGAGAGAGAGAGAGAGAGAGAGAGAGAGAGAGAGAGAGAGAGAGAGAGAGAGAGAGAGAGAGAGAGAGAGAGAGAGAGAGAGAGAGAGAGAGAGAGAGAGAGAGAGAGAGAGAGAGAGAGAGAGAGGAGAGAGAGAGGAGAGGAGAGAGAGAGAGAGAGAGAGAGAGAGAGAGAGAGAGAGAGAGAGAGAGAGAGAGAGAGAGAGAGAGAGAGAGAGAGACTGTTAGTCCCAACATACATCAATACAGTACTGTACTGTACCTACCATTGCTACCAGTACCCATATACCTGTAGGCCTTCAACTTGTAGCACTTGGTGATGTACAAAACATTCTTATACCAGGAATACAATGACCACCCCAGGGTGAACATACAACTATGCCAAAGAGCGGGAACTTACACATCCAACCCCTATAAGCCAGGAGGATCCTCAAGAGATACTGCCGCACTTTCATCAGTGTGATAAAGAATATAAAAGAGATGCCCATTGAGCCCAGTATATTGGCCAGCCATCGTGGAGTTTCTGTAAAGAAAGAAATACATTATATTGTAAATATTTACACTATGTATTATTTATTTATATAAAAAGACAAATTTATCTGTTTTGTAAATAGGCAAATGAGAAAATCAGTGGCAGAGGATAAAGTAATGCAGTACTGTCCTGTATAATTGACTGTACAGTAATTACCACTATTCAGTAATTCAGATCATGATTTAAAAACAAAAAACAATTAAAAGTAAAAATCCAATTCATTACCAAAATTTACCTTACTTCTGTCCATGTTTATCAATAAATACTGTACTGCACTCAAGTCAAAACAAATGTAATTCACACACAATTGTCTACTGTACAGTGCTTGGAGGTAACTAAAGTTGTTGATAAGGGTGTCCTCCAACTAGAGAGTGAAGACAGTGGGTGAATTACGAGTTAGAGCATAAGGTTTACTTGCCCTCAATATCTCCCCAATCCTTTCCCTCCTGATAAACCACGACAGTAGATAACACAACACACTAATGTGGTTGCAACTTTGAAGACTCAATGTTCATATACAGTACCTAAGAAAAAAAAGTACTTGTGCTTTGAAATTGCAGTCCAACAAATATAGTTTATTTGTCCATGATCAATTGAATAACCCACATTACTACTAGGTAAAAGTGGCAGGAGAGGTAAGGTAAGCTCTAATGCTCCATCATCTCACCTTGACCCAACATTGAAGTGGCTCTCTGTGTGAGGAGAGGCCTGGGGCACAGGTCAAGAGTCTCCTCTGCTGATAACTACATTGTAACAAATTACTCTTTTATTGTCATTTTAATTCTTTATATTTATTTAATTATACTCTTTCTTTTACTTATTCCTCTTAATCTTTTTCGTTACATTCGTGAGAGGTGGAAGTAATTGTTTATGATTGAGGTCGGCTGGTGATATACAATAGGCTTACAGTTGACCCTCCCATTAACACCCACACATCAACACCACCCACACACATCAACACCAACCCACACATCAACACAACACCACCCACATCTCAACACCACCCACACCTCAACACCACCCACACATCACCACCCACACATCAACACCACCCACATCTCAACACCACCCACACATCAACACCACCACATCTCAACACCACCCACATCTCAACACCACCCACATCAACACCACCCACACACCAACACCACCCACACATCAACACCACCCACATCAACACCACCCACACATCAACACCCACACACCTCACCACCCCACACATCAACACCACCCACACATCAACACCACCCACATCAACACCACCCACACATCAACACAACACACCACACCTCAACACCCACACCAACACCACCCACACACCACCCACCACACTCAACACCACCCACACACCTCAACACCACCCACATCAACACTCAACACCACCCACACCTCAACACCACCCACACATCACACATCAACACCACCCACACATCAACACCACCCACACATCAACACCACCCACATCTCAACACCACCCACACTCTTCTTGAGGAGATATAATCTACACCATATAACACTTCCTATGTTGTGTTGAAATTTTCTCCCCCAAACTGTGTGGCTGACGCGAATATGGCAACTCTTCCAAACACGTGACAACAGTGTTTATGTTATCGCTACTGTAATATCTAAAACAAAAATGAACATAAAGATCTATGCAAGTAATACCATTCTTTAATTATTAAGTCAGAAAGAATATTCTTATGCAATACAGAAATAAAGTTTCATGAAGACCGACCAATGTGCTCGTAAATAATAAGAAACTTGATATACAACTAAACAAAAAAATGTACCGAACATGAGAGGTGACAGGTAGAGTGAATGTTGGCCAAAGAAAATAATGAAATATTATAGAAGAAACTATGAGACATGAAGGTCACTGCTCAAGGTAAAACATATGTGTGGGCTTATATCACACTGCAGTATGTCAAAGTCGCGTGGATATAGTGATAACAATAATCTTAAGTGCGATAAAATGTGACTTAACTACTTTACTATCTTTCAAATCATTGACTGCGATATCTTAAGTACGTGTTGGACAGGTTAATTAGCCTCATTAATTTCACTTCATCCTTGAAACATTGAAAAGGGTTGATAGCTTCTAGGAATGTGTCCTTGTGTTCAGGTGGGACGATTCTCTCACTTGAGTGGTCGGTCCATAGTCCAAGTGACTTTATGATAGCACAACACATGTAAACAAACCTTGTAACCCCCAGTTTATCTAATCACTCCTACTGTATACGATGCTACTTGTATTAATATAATGTACAATGATCCTGTATTAAGACTTATGACGTACTGTACTTTCTTCAGTTATATTACAGTAGTATGTTACTGGTCAACATTCAACCAGCCTAGTAAGTTTCATTAAAATTAGGTCAAGTTTTTTTCTACAAAACTCTGCTCATTAACACACATAAGGGGTCACACAGATAACGGTGACTAATGAACACAAATAAAAAGAAAATAACTATTATGCCCTTTAGGCGATGTGAATAATTCGACATTTTAAAAGCAAGAGGGAAGTGAAATCTTTGAGGGTAGTGACGGGGCGAGGAGGTGGGGAGACACAGGTCACTCACTCCACACCGCGAGGACGGAAAATAATGTGTCATGTTGGTAACTCGGTAAAAACGTATCTTTCAGGAGGGTCCAATGAGTTGTCTCTCTAGGATTGGTAGGCGTGATTGTGAGGCATTTGCTACCTATTATGCTAGCTGGTAGGCTTAATTTAGTTATTTCATTCAAAATATACTAATAGTTCTTTGCATTATGATTGGTGAATAACAGTATGCCTCATGACCCTTTATTAAAACCTTCATGGTGTCATTTTGTTACGGCCAAGAAGTTTAAAGATAGTTTTTTACCGAGTGGATAAGTACCAGTGGGAAAGAATTTGAGACCATGGACGATAAATATTGGTATATGAGGGCTGTCACTCGTCACACGTAAAATTTCGGAGCATATCGACCCCCACCTGCACTGATAGTTGTTTTAGCTACTGTACAAGTTGATACACACCTGCCCTATATTGTCTCCCCCACCTCGACTCTCCTTTGTTACTTAACTTGAACACCAAATTTTGCAGTTTATGTTAATCTACACCACAAAGATGACGGACAACCATCTTTTTGAAGGGACAGATTGTATGAGTGTGGAAACAGAAGAAGGCAGAGCATTCCACAGTTTGGCTGTGTGAGGAAAGAAGGTTGTACTATAACGGGTTATTATAGTGTGACCGACAGCCACACAGAAACGGTGGGCAGCGCGGGTAAGACGATAGTTATGAGCCCACGGTCTTGCCGGCGGTACACAGGATGCCAAATCCACCGAACATTGTCCGTTAAAGTAACTGTAAAAGAGAGAGTGAAGCAACATTGCGGCGAAGAGAAAGGGAAGAGAGATATCGACTAGAGGAGGAGAGTTAATAAGACAAACTGCCTTTGATTTCACCCTATCTAACAGTTGGACAGGTCAAGTGTTTAAGAAAGTCGTCTCCTTTTTTTTTTTTATAATTCAACCATTTTAACATAATTTCAGAAGATTACTACTATAGTTATACATAAGAGGACTTCCTATGAGTTTTTAACGGCAACGTATAATAGTTACAATGATAAGACAGGAATACAATTTGCATGAAGATAAAGTAGACATAAGAGCGAGTGTGTCCTTACAACCTCACACGAGTGACCAAGTTTAATCTGAAATACAAGGCGAACTCCACACCACCACCACCACCACACTGTACCTGAACCTCTCCACACCACCACTGTACCTGAACCTCTCCACACCACCACACTATACCTGAACCTCTCCACACCACCACACTGTACCTGAACCTCTCCACACCACCACTGTACCTGAACCTCTCCACACCACCACACTGTACCTGAACCTCTCCACACCACCACACTGTACCTGAACCTCTCCACACCACCACACTGTACCTGAACCTCTCCACACCACCACACTGTACCTGACCCTCCACACCACCACTGTACCTGAACCTCTCCACACCACCACACTGTACCTGAACCTCTCCACACCACCACACTATACCTGAACCTCTCCACACCACCACACTGTACCTGAACCTCTCCACACCACCACACTGTACCTGAACCTCTCCACACCACCACACTGTACCTGAACCTCTCCACACCATCACACTGTATCTTAACATAATTAAAATATCAAAATTCGACCGTGAGAGTGACTGAACTAGGCACTCTCCTCATAGCACCAGTTTGGGGATAAATTTATGGTACAGAATATTTTCCAAAAGACAGTGTACCTTATCTTTGTCTAGTATTAAGTGAACGTATTTACACGAGGTTAAGTCTCTGTTTAATTTTACTGTTGTTTTGGGGTTTTTTAGGGGAAAGTCTAAACCTTTTTCATTTAGAGGAATATTTGCCGTTCCAATATTTCTCAATCCCCAGCCAAGGTAACATTACATGCTTCTTGCTTCTTCCACATATGTAAAAAAAAACTGTGGTGTAACAACTGGAGTAACACGTCTGGTAGGATTGTGGTAATTAAGAAGTGAGGAAGCCCCACAACCTTGGAGTGAAGCCCTGCCCTTCACCCCCCCCTCCCTACCTGCCCGCTCTCACACACACACACGTTACTTCACTACTTACAGACGAGGGTTCTGAAAGAGGCTGTGGCTCCAGTTCTATATTTAGTTCTAATACATAACTCATGGCTGTGGTGGTGGATGATCGAGTCAATCACACGTTGAATATGTTAGTTATGGTCTACATACAGTACAGTAATTATACTTCTGTACTTGTACCTTCCAAGCAGTGCCATCACGAAGGAGGGTACTGGTGGAGTGAAAACCCTTCAATACCGACATGGGTGGAAACTGTGTATACTGTACCTCTTAAGGGAGAACTGTACCCATAGAGCAGTTACATTTACACCGTACATGTTGGGTACACACCTTGGCTGTACCCACACTAACCCCCCCCCCCCACCTAACCATTCCC